AAGAAAAGAAAATCTAAGCTCTGGCCAGGTGTGGTGATGCACACCTGTGATCCCAGCACTCGGGAGGCTGAGGCAGGAGGACCACTGCGAGTTCAAGGCCAGCCTATATTGAGAGTTCAAGGCCAGCCTAAACTGCATGGTGAGACCCTGTCTCATAAACAAACAAACAAACAAAACTACTGACAAGCTATTACAGACCCATGGACCTACCTGACTCTGTAGAAATCTCTGGAAATGCCAAGTATTCTTGACAGAGACTGGCATTCCTGGAACCACTGCTCTGCCCGCCTCTGCAGTAAATACCTTATACCCTGGAGGGTAGAAAGCATGTAGTGGAGGAGCTCACCGGCCAGGAGCGTCAGCCAAGAAGCATGCAGAGCCAGGAAAAACAGCAATCAACCGTTCAGTTGTTTCCTGTGGTTGAACAGTGTATGTATAACCCTTGAGAAAGTACATGCACCCCTGTGGTGTAAGGCATCTCCACATACAGAGTCTCAAAGGTAACACCCCTTTTTTTTGTTTTGTTTTTTTGAGACAGGGTCTCGCTATGCAGCTCAGGCTGGCCTTGAGCTCACTTTGTAGCCCAGGCTGGTCTTGAACTCACAACGATCCTCCTGCCTCAGCCTCCCGAGTGCTGGGATTACAGGCGTACGCCACCACACCCAGCTGAATTAGCTTTTTAGGGGATGGTTTTTAAAAAAAATTTTTTTTGAGACAGGGTCTTGCTATATAGCCCAGGTTGGCATCAAACTTGCAGCAGTCCTCCTACCTCAGCCTCCTAAGTGCTAGGAGTGCTAAGATTACCGCTATGCCCCACCACGCCTGGTACCGAGATGAATCTTTTATTATCAACTGAAAACATATAGGTCTTAGAAGTGAGCCCAGTACAAAGCACGCATTGCTGAATCTTTCTGGCCCCTTGGCACAGCGGTTCTGCCTATATCATACGTGACCAACAGGACTCAGAAGACAGCTCCAGATCACTCCCTGCCCCATCAAAACAGGCAAACCTCATTGAGGTTGCTCTTTTGGCCTCCATATCCAAAAAATATCAGGTAGTTTACTTTACCCCATTACCAGACATTATAGAAAATACATCCTTGGGGCTGGGGATATAGCTCAGTGGCACAAGTGCCTGCCTGGCAAGTGCAAGGTCCTGAGTTTGATCCCTGGCACTGCCAAAAAAAAAAAAGAAAGAAAATGCATCCTAGTGGTGTGGGGGTGGGGGTGGAGGCACACACCAGTAATCCAAGCACTCAGGAGGCTGAGGCAGGAGGATTGTTGTGAGTTTGAGAGCTGCCTGGGCTACAAAGTGAGCTCAAGGACAGCCTGAACTGCATAGCAAAAGGAAAAGAAAAAAAGTTTGAGGCAGGAGGATCAAAAGTTCAAGGTTAGGCTTCCCTACATACCAAGGCCAGTCTGAAAAATACAAAAAAAAAAGAAAAGAAAGTAAGCCAGCCGGATATGGTGGCTCATATCTGTCATCCCAGCACTCTGGGAGGCTGAGGCAGGAGGATCCCAAGTTTCAGCCTAACCTAAGCAGTTCAAATGACTTAGTGAGATCCTGTCTCAAAGTAAAGTTAAAGGCGGGTGGGGTGAGGATGAGACTCAGTTCAAAGACCCTGGGTTCTGTGCCCAGTACTGAGGAGCAATAAAGGAGCGGAGGAAAACAGGAAAAAAACTAAAAGCAGGGGCCAGAGTCCCATACCCAGCACTGCCTGACTAGGTCTGGGCCTCAGTTTCCCCCTCTGTGAAATGGGGTGACGGTGGTCGCGGGCGGGCAGGTGGGGACAGGGACCCTGGCCCCAGGTGACCTGCGCCTGGGCTCTGAGTTGCAGGCAGCAAGAACAAGTCGGTGGAGCTGGAGGATGTGAAGTTCCACCAGTGCGTGCGGCTGTCCCGCTTTGACAACGACCGCACCATCTCCTTCATCCCGCCTGACGGTGACTTCGAGCTCATGTCCTATCGGCTCAGCACGCAGGTGTGGCAGGCTGGGCGGGTGCGGGGCGAGCCGGGGGTCTCCGGGCTCCCCGAGCACAGTCCCTGTCGTCTGTCTGCAGGTCAAGCCGCTCATCTGGATCGAGTCTGTCATTGAGAAGTTCTCCCACAGCCGAGTGGAGATCATGGTCAAGGTGCGGGAGGCACCGATCACCCATGGAGCGTCTGTCTGCTCACCCCAGCAACCCCCCTCCAACCTCATGGGGCTCCCTGGGTGGCCTTCACATGGTGTGGCACATGACCTCAGGACCTTTACACCTGCCACTCCATTTGCTCTGAATGCTCTGCTCTTCTTTTTTGAAACACAGTTTCACTCTGTGGTCCAGGATGAGCTGGAACTGGGGGCAACCTTCCTGCCTCAGCCTCCTGAGTGGTGGGATTATAGGCATGCACTCCCTTGGCAGCTTGTGAGTGAATTCCTCACCCCCACGCTCTTTCCCTGACAGGCCAAGGGGCAGTTTAAGAAGCAGTCTGTGGCCAATGGCGTGGAGATTTCCGTGCCTGTCCCCAGTGATGCCGACTCCCCGCGCTTCAAGACCAGCGTGGGCAGCGCCAAGTATGTGCCCGAGAAGAACGTCGTGATCTGGAGTATTAAATCCTTCCCGGTGAGTGCAGGGAAGGTACAGCATGGTGCTGGGCCCTGTATAGGCAACATGGTATGGAAGGGGCAGGTAACTTCCAGAAACTGATTCCAGGTTCAAATTCTCACCCCTACCTTTCTGTTGTTCTTTCTTCCTTGTCCTTTTCCTCCTCCTCCTCTGTTTCTCTCTTTTTATTTTTTTTGAGACAGGGTCTCACTATCTCAAAGTAGTAGTTCAGACCGGCCTTAAACTCAGTATGTAGTCCAGGCTGGCCTCCAGCTCATGGCAATCCTTCTGCCTCAGCCTCCTGAATGCTAGGATTATATGTGTGTGCCACTACACCAGGTTACTCTTGCTTTTCTGAGGTTTTTGAGCTTGGGAAACTCATTTGACTTCACAGACTCAGTATGTTGGTCTGTGAAATGGGCTGGAGGATCTCTTCTTCATGTCCTTGAGCCCCTGGTTTTTTGTTTTTGTTTGTTTCATTTTTGCCCTGGCTGGTCTTGAAATTATAATCCCAACTCAGTCTCCCAGAGTGCTGAGATTAGAGTTGTGCACCATCATGCCTAGCTTACTGGGGAGTTTTGCTTTTGTGGATGGAGTCTTGTTAAATCACTAAGTGTCCTACCCTGTGCTTGAACTTTTTGATCCTCCTGCCTCAGCCTCCCAGAGTGTTGAGATTATAGGTTTGTGGTACCACACCTGGATTTTTTGGTTTGTTTGTTTTTGAGACAGGGTCTTGCTAAATTCCCCAAACTTTCCCTAGTCCTGCCTTACCGCCCCCCACCCCCGTTGCCAGGGCCACTTACTGGCAATGGTCCCAGCCACTAAAGAGGGTGCTGTCTCTGTCCTGTCAGAGGGGGGCTGGGAGGCTCGGGGCCTGAGGACTGAGTTGAGGTGATCCCCAGACGGCCCTGCCGGTCCCCCGCCTGCAGCCTCGACTGTTCCCGTCTGCACAGTGGGTCTGCTCCGCGCAGACCCTAGGCTGGGCCGGTTGGACTGGGCCCCGGCAGCCTGATGCCCCATGTCTCCTCAGGGGGGCAAAGAGTACCTGATGCGGGCCCACTTTGGCCTGCCCAGTGTGGAGAAGGAGGAGGTGGAGGGCCGGCCCCCCATCGGGGTCCGCTTTGAGATCCCCTACTTCACTGTCTCCGGCATCCAGGTGAGGGGCGCAGACAGGGCGGCTGCTCTCCCTGTCCCCTGGCTCGAGCCCCCGTATGTCCCTGGCCTGTGTCACCTCCCCCCAGTCAGTGTCTCCGCCTGCGGCTCCACCCCTTGGTCTTTGTCCTGTGCCACTTTATCCCTCTGAGTTGTACTCCCGGGGCCCAAGCCCACCCCCACCCAGCCGCGGGCCACCTCCCTCCCCCGGCCTGGGTCACCTCTCTGTCCCCTCCAGGTCCGCTACATGAAGATCATCGAGAAGAGCGGTTACCAGGCCCTGCCCTGGGTTCGCTACATCACGCAGAGCGGAGGTCAGAGCCCGGCTCGGGCGGGGGTGGGGGTGGGGGGCTGAGCCCTACTGTGTTCCAGGCAACACAACTTTCACACTGTCCTGGTTACAAACCCTGAGCCCCAGTTTGCACATCTTTAAAGTGGGGTCCTTGACGAGCTCCAGGGTAGCCCTAAAGCTTGGATAAAAGGGTGGGTACAGCCAGGCGTGGTGGCGCATGGCCCTAATCCCAGCACCTGGAAGGCTGAGGCAGGAGGATCGCCTGGAACTTGAAGCCCTCCCGAGTTACATAGTGAGTTCAAGGCCAGTCTGAACAACATAGCAAGACCCTTTCTCAGAAATTCAAAAGCTAACCAACTCTCCCCCAAAACGCTGGATTCATAGCATCCTTATTTGTTGCCTAGAAACCAGCTTGTTGCCAAGGTTACGGTACCTGTGTTTCACTGAACCCAGGGCCTTTGCACTAAGGTACATCCTCAGCCTTTTGTATTGTACTTTATTTTTAGGAGGATAGGGTCCACTATGTAGTAGTTCAGGCTGGCCTCGGACTGGCAGTGACCCTGCTGCTTCAGCCTCCTGAGGGCTGGTATCACTGGCGTGTGCCACCATGCTCAGCTGAACTTCGTGAAATATTCCAGGGGATGACTATGGTGGCTGAGGCAGGGGATGGATTTAGCGTACGGGGAACCCCTTTCCTCCCCGCTTAATGCTAATGTGGTCGCTGCTCCCTGATTGTTCCTCCAGATTATCAACTTCGGACCAGCTAGCAAGGACAAGAAACGGCCCGGAGAGGGCAGGGGAGGGAGGGAGGGA